GGGTTGTGCAAGGGGGGGGGTGGCACCCTGGGCCCCGCGGCCGCCCGAGTCCTGCGCCCGCGGGGGGGAGGGTGTGGCGGCTGCGGCAAGGTAGTCGGCCGTGTACTGCTGCGACGGCGACATGCTCTGCCAAGATGGTCACAAAAGGGGAGGGTGGGGGGGGTGGGGGAGATTCTGGCAAGAAGACAGGTGTGATGCACTCTCGCGATGACCTTGCTGCTGAAAAACACGTCATGCCCTCCATGCCTGAATATGCAATCGCGGCAGCACCGCCTGTGAGCACCGACACCCCCCTCCGAGAGCTCCTCTTCCCATCCCCCAAGCACTGCACCTGGTACCAGGCGGGCGAGTATCCGAGCGCCGCATTCTCCTTGCCGTGCCCCGCCCCTGCGTAGCCCCCCGGCGGCGTCTTGGCGGCCGACAGCGGCGTGCGTCCGCCGGCGCCCTCGCCCTCCATCGCCTCGGCCAGCTGGCGTGAGAGCGAGGCGCCGCGCTCGTTGGGGCCGCCGTCCCAGCGGCCCCCCGGGGTCGCGGCGGACAGGGGCGTGCGCGCCAGCGCCAGCGCGCGTCGCGCCGCGCTGTCACGAGGCATGGGCCCCGGCTGCGGCGTGGGCGCGGCGCTCAGTGCCGCTGCTGTACTGCGCGCTGGTATCGGGTCCCAGCTCCCCGGGGCTGGGCCGGCGTAGGCTCCGCGCACGGGGAGCGGGGGCGTGGGCGCCGCCTCCCCTGAACGCCAGCCGGCGCGGATGGCGCCCTCCGGGCCTTCCTCGACCCAGGACTGCAGCTCATTCTTTGACGTAGGCCCCTCCCGGGCGCCCTGCTGGTCGCCAGCAGTCTCCTCACCAGCGGGCCGGGCCGCCGCGATGCCGCGCCCCGGCCAGGCGCGCGCCGCGGAGGCCACGCCCGCAGCCGCAGCGGCGTCGATGCGCGCGCGGATGTCCGGCAGGGGGCTGGCTCCGCGGCCGGGCGAAGCGCCGGCCAGCCCCGCTGCGGCCAGCGAGCGCGTGACGCTGGCGGTGAGCCGGCGCTGCTGCGCCAGGGGCATGCCCACCAGGCCCGGCGCGGCGGCGTGCGGCGGCGAGCCTGCCTCTGCTCCAGTGGCCCGCCTCCCCACGCCACCGACTCCACGCCCAGCGTCCGGCGAGGCGGGGCGGGAGGGCAGTGGGTCGGCGATGGACCCCTCCGTGAGCTCGAAGATCGTGCGCAGCGTGTCCTGCAGGTCGTCGTCGAACGCGTCCCAGTACCAGGTGCGGAAGAGGCGGAAGGCGGTCTGCTTCTGCAGGAGGCAGCGCCGCAGGCGGTCGCGCGCCTCGGCCGCCTCGGCCAGGTTCCCGCGCCACGCGTCCCAGGCCGCGGCGACGCGGTGCAGGCGCCACCGCGCCTCGAAGCGCGAGAGCGCGGTGCGGCGCTCCCGCCGCGCGCGCGTGGCGCCGAGCCACGCGCCCAGAGCGCCGCGTTGCAGCGCCAGCGCGCGCCGCTCCACGACGTGCGCCAGCACCGCGCGGCTGCGCGCCGCGGCGGCCGTGTGGCGCCTCCAGGTGGCCAGCGCACCCGCGCACAGCATTACGCACCGCCGCTCGACGCAGGTGCGCAGCGCACGCTCGCGGGCGGAGCGCCGGGCCGCCGCCGCGTGCGCCCAGACGGCCAGCGCCGAGCGCCGCAGCGCGCGCGCGCCGGCGTCGGCCGCCGCCGTCACCGCGCGGCGCGTGGAGGCCGCCTCGCCGGCGTGCAGCCGCCAGGCGCAGAGCGCGGCGCGCAGGTTTGTTGCTCTACGGCGAGCACTCAGACTCTCCGCGCCACGCCGAGCTGCTGCGAGACGCGCCGCGCGCTCAGATTTGACCTGACGCCAGCCGTCCAGGATGGCTGCGAGGCTGCGCCGGCGGGCGCCCTCCACCATCTCCGCCACGCCAAGGCGCTGGCGGACCGCTCGGTCGGCGGCGCCGCGCCAGGCGCCCAGCACCCTGGCGCACTGCTGGCGGTGCAGGCACCTGGAAGTGACGGGTGTGCGATGGGGAGGGTGGGTCATGCCGGATGACGCTGGCGACTAGGAAGTAGCCAGTGAGGGTATGTGCGCGGCCGGCCTGGCGGCCTCAAGACCCCACTGGACGACGTACAGCTGAGCTTCTGGCACCGGCGACGGGTGTCCCACCTCGGTCGCAGCATTTCTTCTCGAGTACTCACGTACTCAACTGATTCCACTCCTCGCACGACCCCCTTCCCCTCTCCACCCCACTCAATCGCGCCCCTCACCTTTTGGCGCGCTGCAGGCGCTCCTGCTCCAGTCCCTTCTCGGCGGCGCGCGCACGCCACTTCCCAAAGGCCCAGCATAAGCGCAGGTCGGACACGCGCATGACGGCCTGCATCATCTTGGCGCGTTGCGCGCGCTGCGCCGCCACCCAGGCGTGCCAGCCGAGCAGCGCCTCACGCGCAGTGTTGGCTCTCACCTGGGCGGCCAGGGCCTCTGCCCGATCCTGCAGGTGTGATGGAGGGGTTGCGGCTGGACGGGTGTCGGATGTCCAAAGATCTTACGGGGAGGTGCCAGGAGGAGGAAACACGGCACCCCCCAAGGGTCGGCCCACCAGGCTCGCATGATGCCCTCACGGCTCCCCGTGTCCGACACCCGATCAAACTTGCTCCTCCCCGCCCCTCATCCTCAGTGCACCTCCGCCAGTCGGCCCGCGGCATGGGCCTCGCGCCAGGCCTGCCAGACCAGCGCCGCGCGCCGTCGGCGCTGCCAGGCCTGCACCAGGGCCACGGTGCCTCGCTCGGCCCGCACCTCGCCCACCCAGCCGCGCCACGCCGCCAGCACCTCGGACTCGAGCACCGCCTGGGGCGTGTGGGGGTGGCGAGGGGGTTGGAGGAGTGCCTGCAGGCTCGTTCGCCGACGTGGTGCCGCAGCTCAGGTGCACACGGCGATGGGCACGTCACGGCCGTGCGTCCAGGCAGCGCAGCTCACCTGCCGCCGTAGCCCGACGCGGGCCAGGGTGGCTGCCAGCGCGGCCCTGGCGTCGCGGGCGCCCAGCCAGGCGCCCAGCGCCTTGCCGACCAGGACACGGCGCCCGAAGCGATCGGCCTGGCGGGCCATCGCCCGCTCCGACCGTGCCGCCTCCGCGTTGCTGGCGAGCGCCTGCAGCACCCCGTGCGCCCTGCCGGGGGGGCGGGGCGAGGCGGCATCGGGTCACCAGGAGGCGGGTGTGTGAAGAAGGTGGCGGGTCTAGCGTGCGCGTTCCTTGGTTCCGCACCTTGCACGCCCGGGACCCCCAGCAAGATCGACATACTGCTCAGGCAGGTGCAGTCTCGGAGGTCCCCACATTCCTCTGCCCTCGTCCACCGAATTCCCACCTGAATCCCTGGCAGTCTGCGACCTGGATTACCCCTCGCCCGAATCCGAGTTGGGTCTCCCCTCCTCCCCGACCACACACCCCCCGCACACAAACAGCTCCACCAGAACACACCTCTGCCGATCGGCGCGGGCCAGGGCCAGGGCCATCAGCGCCCGCTCGCGCCGCCTCCCGACCATCCACTCCCTCCAGACCGCGAGGCAGGCCGCCTGGCTCCTGCGCGCGCGTCGCTCGCATGCGCCGTCGCCCCTGCGGCGCAGCGCGGCGGCGCGCGCGGCGGCCTCGCGCCACTCGCCCAACGCGGCGGCCTGCAGGCTGGCGGCCCTGCCCTCCAGGCAGCGCGCCACCGTGGCGCAGGCGAGCCTCAGGCCCTTGGTGTGGTCGCGCCAGGCGGCCAGCGCCGCGTGCTGCAGCGCGCGGGCCCTGCCTTCCACCAACCTGGGTAGGAGGGGGAAGGAAAGAATGGGGGGGGTCCAGGTCACTCAAAAGGTTCGGGGGGGGGGGGGGGATGGGAAAGGTGCGATGGTGTGCCAATGGAGTCGGGGATGCGACGCATGCCCTGCGATTCAGCTCCATGCCAGCGGTGTCCATGCCTACGTCATCCAGAGCACTGCAGGCACAGGGAGTCAAGGCAGCCGTCTTGCAGCACCAGGACCGGCGCCACGCCACGTCCCCCTGCCACAATCGCAGCCTAAGCCCCTCTCTCGCTCATGAATGCCACCGCCAACGCATGCCCACCCTCCACTCACTGGACGAGGCGGGAGCGCCTGGTGGCGGCCTGCTGGGTCTCGGCCCTCCAGGCTCGCAGTGCCAGCTGGGCGCGGCTTCGCGCGGCATGGGCCGCCGCCTCGACCTCCAGGCTCGCGGAGTCGGCGACGCAACGGCGCCAGGCGCCCAGGGCCCGCCGCGCGCGTGACAGAGCGATGAGCTGGCCGGCACGGGCCGCGGCGGCGGCGTCGCGCCGCGCCGCCTCCGCGAAGCCGCGCCAGGCCGCGATGCACGCGCGCAGCGAATCTGCGCGCCGCGTCGCCGCCGTGCGTGCCCGCAGCGCCTCCAGGCCGGCCTCTCGCTCGGGCGCCAGGCCGCGCCAGGCGTGGAAAGCCTGGCGCAGCGCGCCTGCGTCAACGGAGCGGCGCACGTGCTCCAGTTTCGCCGCCGCCTCCTGGCGCTCCTCCACCCATGCCCGCCAGCTTGAGAAGGCCGCGGCCTGGCGACGAGCCTGTGGGGGGCGAGATGAAAAGGGTTGTTGATTCACAAAAGGGACCTGTAAGGTCACACCTGCCACCGCTGACACCATGGCAATCCACAGCCCCACCGGGATGCAATCGGTAACGAACAGGGAACGGCATACAGCTGGGCCCATAAATTCACGGGCTCCGGGCCGATGCTGCTCACCACCGACTGCGCTACAGCGCGACGTAAGAGGGCCTGCTGCTCCCGCCGCAGCTCCACGGCACCCGCCCAGGCGCGGAAGGCCTGGCGCAGGCGCATGGCCGACAGCTTCTCCACGGCTCTCCTCAGCAGCTGGAGGGCGAGGGGGGGGGGAGCGAGGGAGGTATTGGAGATGCATGTGCATGGGGAGACAGAGAAGATCAATTCCAGGATCAACGGCTTGTCTAAGCCAGCTCCACACGCGGCCTGCCCTTTGGCGCCAGCAACCAGCCCCGCCATCCTCCAGCAAAACCTGCTTGGTGTGCGCCGCGTCCTCGCAGGCCAGCCGCCACGCGTCGACGGCCAGACCCATGAGCCGCGCGACGCGGCGCCTCGCCGCGGCTGCCTCCCAGGCCCGCCGTCGGTTCTCGGCCGCGGTGGCGGCCCTCCAGGCGGCAAAGGCTGCGGCGCAAGCGTCGCGCCGCCGGCGTGCCGCCAGCGCGGCCAGCGCAGCGCCGCGCGTGGCCTCGACGGCGGCCTGGCTCCCTGCCAGCTCCCGGGACCGGGCCCGCACGGCCTCCAGGAGCTCGGCCACATCCAGCTCCACCTGGCTGCGCAGCGACTCCACCTGGGCAGGGATCGGCAGGGGATAGGGTGAAGGTGGTGCGATATATGTTTTCATGTGGGCGGACGGGCATGGAAGGGGTGTTCTTCAGCAGAGGGGACTCTGACAAAGTATCCCCGCGAGCAGTTTGACGAAACAAAGTCACCTTTTCCACTGCCCAGGCGCGGAGGTGGGCGGTTGTCTGCGTCAGGTCGGCGAGCCTGCCCTCGGCCTCGCTCCTCAGAGCCTTCTCGCGGTCGACATAGGCAAACCATTCCTGTGGGTGGGGAAAGGGTGAGCGAGCATGCTTGGTGGGGCGCGCAGGATAGGCAAGGCGGCAGACTTTGAGGAGCGACTCTGCTGTGTCACCCGCTTTCTGTGTGCAAGGGAAAGCCAGCACTGTCCGCTTCATCTTGACCCTTGCTGCGCACGGTAAACCACCGCCCCCACACACAAGAACCCTCTTAAGCAGACACACACAGCCACACACTCGTCATTCGCATCCTTTCCCTGCCTGACTCCACTTGGCCACCCGGGCCCGAGGATCTAATCCAACCCTGCGCTACCTGCACGACGACGTCGGAGATGCGGCGCAGTTTCTCCCTCTCCAGCCCAGCCATTCCGGCCTCCGGCACGGGCGCCAGCGACCGGGGGGTGGTGCTGCCCCCCACGCTCAGCGGCAAAAAGGTCCCCACCCGCACCAGGGTCACATGCAGCTGGACCTGGGGCAGGCGGCGGTGCTGCAGAACCAGGGGCTGGGACGTCTCCCAGGGCTGGGCCAGCGCCTCGGCCGCCCCAGGACCCAGCTGCCACTGCTCCCAGGTCCCCAGATTGGCGCTGTGGAAGGCGAGGCGTGCGGCGCCGTGCTTGCGGGCCTGCAAGAACCTGTCCCCTGCCGCGGCGGAGCGCAGGCCCAGCCACTCGCCGGACAGGACCACCTCCAGGTGGGTGTGGGCGTCGGCGGGGCCGCAGCGGCCACAGGGCCGGAGCAGGGCGGGACCCTGGCCCAGCGCCTCGCCGACGCTCGTAGAGGCTGCGTGCACGCGGAAAAACCTGTCGCCGTCGTCACACTGCAGGGCCACGGCATCGCCGGTGGAAAGCCCCGGCCTGGGGCTGGCATCGGGCTTGAAGGCGCGGGGGGCGGCTGCATGGGCGGCATGGAGGGAGGTTGATGGGAGGAAGGGCCACTGTCGAATGTAAACGTAGGTCAAGGCACAATCAGTTCCCTACATGCATTCTTGTCTCCATATCTTACGGCGCTCACCCTTGTGGCAGGCCAGCGCCTGGCTGTAGGTGCTGCGGGGCGAGGAGGCCCGGCTGGTCTGTCTCGAGGCGGGGGCCGAGCGGAAGGCAGGCAGGTAGGGGGGTCGGGGAGGGTGCCCCGATCCCGTGGAGCCTTGCGACATGGGGTTATCGCTGGCTCCGGGCCGCAGGGCAAGCCCTCAGGACACCACGGAATTCGAAAAGTGCACCCCGACACGCAGACAGGAATGCGGCGTCAGAGCTCCGTCTGGAAGGGCCTTACCCACGGCATCTCTGGACTCTGGAGCAAAATATGGTAGTGGTCAATTCAATATCGCAGTTCTCTGAGTTCTGCTCTGCATATCTCCGAGGTAGGCTGTCGAGCGCATTTTGCACTCCGCGGTAGAAAGTTCGGCCGAGCGTCATGAACACGGAACTCATGTCGCCTTCTGTAAATACCGTGATGTGCCCGCGAAAGGAGTTCACAACCTTTTTGTGCTTTAATTTCAGAACATTCATTTAACTTTTCAGAGCTAGCGGTACATGGGAAAGAAGAAGGCCAATAAACGAAAAGGCGCACTTGCTGCTCACTATGATTCAGTCGATCTTGTCTTGAAAGATGTCAAATTGAGTCTAATCAACTTCGAAAGGCATATAAATGACGTGAGAGGCTGTTCGAGTCCCACATGTTCTCTCTGCCCTGTACATGGTGCCGCTGAGTACTGGTCCCCCCTTGGCTCACTCCTCATGGCAGGTGCGCCAACTGGAGACCGATGCGCAGAAAGACACGGCGAGGGCGAGCGCAGGGATCGAGCTGGACAAGCTCGTCCAAGGTTTCGGCCTTCTCACCTCTTGGTGGGTGGGTGGCAAAGGGTTTGGGACTCTCGCACATTGTTACCTCGGCAGCGCCGATATTCGTAGGTGAATCGAGTGGGTTCCCACTGTATCAGGGATCACGGACTGCACATGGGCAGAGCGATACAAGTGCGTCGAGTGCGGACGGAGATACAGACGCGTCTGAAGGCTCTAGTAGATCTGCACTATGCCGATGGCATGGTGGTGAAGAGGGAGCATCCTCCCGAGCAAGTTCACAGCTCAATTCGCAGCTGGTTCAAGGACGCAGAAGATCGACTCAAGGCTGAGGTGTGTCACAATGGAGGCTACTACACTGCCAACCTGGTGCATGGGAGGTGGACCAACATGTCAACCTGCCAGTTTAAGCACAATAGAAGCGGCACGAGCCCACCCCCTCACAGATCAAAAGTGTGGAGAAGGAGATGGAATGCTTATTGAAGGATCACCATTTCCAAGCGACATGCGGGCCAGCATTGCAATTTTTGGAGGACACTGGAAATCGTCACAAATCCCATCTACAGTTTGCAGAGCAGGTTATCCCTCTCATGGACAAGGGGAGGCTGATGGTGAGCATGGATGACGGTGGGAAAGAGCACCGTGAGGCCAGGCACGTCTGCATGCCTCGTCAACTTGTCTGGTGTGGGTGCAAGTACAGAGACTGTGGTCCAGCTTGTACACATCTTCCAGAGGTTTGGGTCTTCCAAGCATTCCAAGAGCCACTGGCTCATTCACCAGGAGGCCGTCCTATTGAGACTCACTGCTGAGCACTCCATGTCGCAGGCAGAGGAGCTGCATGGCACCCAAGGGAAGCTGGAGTCCTACCTGAGGAGCATCAGTGCGTCCAATACAGTGTCAAACCTCGCAGATGAGACGTGTGTCGGCTAGTTTCCGCCCATGGAGCAAAGGAGGGTGGTTTCAGGACCTGTTTGGTTAGTGGGTGCTGTGCTCACTGATCCTGGAGCATGCACTTTTACTCAGCCCCGCTTGCTCATGCCAACTAGCGTGACCTGGGCCATACTGAATGGCCTCACAGATTCTCTCAGATCCTGTCCGTCCTGAGACCCACGGCCAGACAGTCTCCTTTTGGCTCGGTGTTTGCGTTGGAGGCAGGGTCTACACCTCCAAGAAGCAGGCAGGCGCAGGCAGGAGCATTCCTGAACATGCTGGATAAGGCAGGTTTTCACAGGCTGCACAGAGTGCTCCAGGAGAGGCTTGAAGCTGAAAGCTCTCCCAAGAAGCCTGGAGCCGGGCTTCAGGAGCAGCCTGCACCCCTGGCCGCTGCGTCTGCCCTGGCTTCCGAGCCACCCCTTCTTGGACCGGTGTCCCTGGCCGACAAGGCAGATCTCCTCTGCTCTCAGGCCGAGAGCCCGCTGGCCGATGTGAGGGGAGGCTCAACAGAGGGTGGATGTGCTCTTCAGGAATAGGGAGGGGGATGGTGCACTCCCTGTTCTCGATGGCTGGCCGCTATGGGAGGAGCCATGATACACTGCCCGTCTTCATCAACAACAGATCCAGGGCAGCTTGTGATTGAAGGACCTCTACGACCGCACATGTCTCACTCACAGGATTCTGAGCGGTGCAGTGATAATACACCAAGGGATGCTGGCCTGTCATCTGATCCACAGCTACACGCCATTCAGGTGCCTCCTGGTTGGTCCGGGGGGGGGCTCCACTGGTTGTTCCTCTCCCAAGGGGGTTTTACTCCTGGAGATAGTGCAGCTGACAGCGGTGCAAGGCCCGCAAAGCCTTTGCCATTCTCCAGAACAGCTCTGGCCCAAATATGCCACCTTCAAATGACATGTTCATGGGAGTCAAGGGCCTACATCATTACTCCAAGTCCCGAGTTCTCTTCCCTCCCTTTGCAGCCCACACTGTGGAAATATCCTCGGGAACTGTACAAGCTCTTGGACGCTGAAACGCTCTTCTTTGCTTTCCACCACCTTCCCGGGACCAGGGCTCAGCTGCTTGCTGCACAGGAGCTGTATCGTCAGGACTGGCGATACCACATGTGGCAGGGAGTCTGGTTTCAGGTACGAGATAGTATGTGCTCGAAAGGGTGGCCCAGGGATGACAGACAGTACAATGCGGAGAGCAGATGGTTCGGCCTCCATAGCGGGTGACTGAGCGTCCTGACGGAATACTGAGTAGTGCATTTCCACCCTTGCGGCACCGCAGCGTTATGCAGAGCCCACAGCGGGGGGCCAGCCTGGCGACGACTGGGAGAAGGGCTCATACATCTACTTTGACTACCTGCTGCATGGTAACGACCATGATATCGGCTGGTGCTACCGTCTGAAAGAGGACTTCCTGTTCCAGTATGCTGCTCTCGCGGTGAGGCTCATGATGGAAGAATGTCGGCCAGAGGGCGACCCGAAGTCTGTGACCTTGCATTGGGCATGGCAGTCTGCACAGCATTCACCATCGAGAATTTCATGAGAATTTCAGACCCACACAAGCCGGAATAAGACCCCTCTCGCCCTTGCGCTCAGGATGCCATCACGATTGAGTAGGCCACACGACAGGACAATAACTTTATCCCAGAGGGACGGCAATGGACATTAATGAAGCGCATAGGGCTTTGAGCTGCCAGATAGATGCTGTACCAAGTGTAAGGAAGTTCAAAAGAGGCATTTACACACTTTTAAGAGGTCGAGGTAGCGAGCGAATCAAGTCTGCCATGCTTGATGGTCGAGGTCCGCGTCAGCATGGGACCTGAACGTTGTACGGCAGGGTACCACAGAGACCACGAAACTCGCGGTCAAGTTTTTCGACGCTATGCCATCACCAGCAAGATTTCACCAACGAATATCACTTTCGCTGCTCACCCGGGGAGGGCGTATCCCTAGAGCCGTGCGCAGTGGGAAGCACGCAGCTTCGCGCGTTGCCATCGTGGTCCAGTATTTTCACCGCTGCCTGGGACCCCTGACGCCCAGCGGGTGTTGTGGAAGTTCCAAGCTGGAGACCCCGGTACTAGTTTCCGGGCTGACTGGCGCGCAGGTGCGTTCTCATGGGTTGCGGAGAGTTTTATCCCTCCACGACGGGGTATGACGCGCGGATTCTAGGGCAGTGGCTGGGTTCATTCGTGCCAGCTTACATCGTCATTGGTTTCGGTGGAACGTTCGGGCTTGATCGGGGGGCTGAGCGCCCCTGCTCGGACACTTCTGTTCGAACGGCATGGCGCGTGGAGCACGGGCCCCTGACCCTCCCCCTACCCGCTGCCTGCTTTGAGATGAATCGTACCGTTCTCCCTCACACTTCTGAATGCCGGTACCCACTGCCCGGCGGCACATCGCCCGGCCGATGGGTTTCGACGACTCCCGCGCGCCCAGGGCGCTCCTGATGCACGGACCCTCCTCACCCCAGATGCCCCTCCCCCCCGCCCCCTCCCCACCCAGGCCAAGCACATGTGGTCCCTCAGCACCTGAGCCCCCCTGTCGCTACCATGAACTCCGAGGAACAGGACGCAGAGATCGACGCCCTGGACGCCCTGGGTGCCCTGGCCGACTTTGCAAGGTGTGTGGGGATGGTGGTGTGGAGTGCATTCTGGGCTCTATGTCGTCAAGCTTTTGGGCCCAGAAGTCTTCCTGACATCCTGAACTGCCCACCCCAGACCCTGCCCCCACCCAAAATCGCCCGTGCAGCGAGCAAGCCAGTGAGGATGAGGGGGGGCACCTCGCCCGCGGCGACTCCCATGGGCCGGAGGCCGAGGGGCCCGGCGGGCGGGACCTCCAGAAGTGGATCCAGTGCAGCGTTTGCGAGAAGTGGCGCAAGGTCCCCTTCAACCTCTCTGACGCCGACATCCCGGATGACTGGGCCTGCGGCGACAACACCTGGGGCCTGGACAGCGCCACCTGCGACGCGGAGCAGGCCATGAGCAATGACGAAATCGACTACATCCTGTCGGCGCAGGCCGCGCAGCTGGAGACCGAGGCCGCGGGCGATGCCGCGGGGTGAGCAACAGACTAGTTTTTTGGGGGGGGGGCCCTTGGGGCGAGGCCATGTATTGCTATGCCTGTGCGATTTTTAGTGCAGGGTGAGGTTGGGCACGGGTGCGGGAGGTTGCAAGGGCCGCCAGGAATATCTTGGGTAATTGACCTGCGAAGGCGCGTGCCAGTTTCCCTCCACCACGCCATGTGAACGACGCAAGCAGCGAGCAAGTCGCCCTGCATTCCTGGTTCCTCCTCCTCCAGCACCACGCGATCTCTCCTCCCTCACCGGTCCGCACCCGCCACTCCGCACACCGCAGGGCAACGCGGCGACCCAAGCGCGCCAACGGACGCGCCGCGGGGCGCGGGCCGCCGTCCGTCGCACTGGCCAAGGCCGGCGGCGGTGGGCGCCAGGCGGGCGCCAACCAAAATGGGCGCGGTGTGGATGTCGCGCCGCGCCGCGCACCCCCCGGCGGCGGCGGGGCGGGCAAGCCCGGCCCCGCGCCCGCGGGCAAGGCCCCTGCTGCGCGGCTGGACCAGGACGAGGCGGCCGAGGCGCTGCTGGGCATGGGCTTCGCGTACGACAACAGCAGCGAGCCAATTGGCGGCGACCCGCTGGGCAGCCTGGCGGCGGCAGCGGGCGTGGGCGCGCGCGGCGCGCGCTTCCCCCCCGGCTCCGTGGTCTGGGCCAAGGTGGAGGGGCACGACTGGTGGCCGGCGGCGGTGGTGCGGCGGCGCGCGGTGCCGCGCGAGGTGGGCCTGCCCCCCGGCGGCTCCTCCCTCGTGCGCTCCCAGATCCCCGTCGTCTTCTTCAAGCCCGACGGCGTGCCGGGCCAGGCCCCGCCGGGCACGCGCCTGGCCGACGCGGCGCTGCGGCTGGCGGTGCGCGCCGCCGACGCGGGGTCGGACGACGAGGCCGAGTACGCCTGGCTCCCCGCCGAGGCCCTGCACGCCTTTGTCCCCGGGGCGGGCGCGCCCCCCAACCCCGACCGCCCGCCCGGCCTCCCCGTAGACCCGGGGCTGGAGGACTGCGTGGCGGCCGCGGAG